CTTTCCACAGGTTATTTAAATTCGATGACGAGGAACCCACTTTGAGACTAATAATGGCTGGAGACGGCTTAAATGGGTACCTTAAATGGGATTAAATGGTACCTGATGATCACAAAACCTTGTCGAAACGTTGTACATTTGCTGTCATGTTAAACTTGTATTAAAGTTTTTCTTCATTACCCATTTAAGCCGTCTCCAGCCATTATTTCCACAGGTTAGTTTATACTTCTCAATGAAAATGTTTTGTGGCTAACATATTGGAGTTTTAAATCAGTTTTTTTTTACATTAAAGTGGACACAAAGATAATTGAATTAAGTTACAAGAAGCAACTGGTTGAAAGCTCCACTGAGGTAATCACAAAGAAAAGTCCATTAAGAATAACTGAGTAATTCGTGGCAAGCTCCGTTTAGGTAGCCACGAAGACATGTACTTCGTGAAGTATAGGGTAATTTCCTGGGAGTTTCATTGAAGTAGCTAGAAAGAAAAATCCAAATAAATTCAACACAAAGGTAGTTGCATTAAGAAATGTAGAGTAATCGGTGGGAAACTCTAATAAGTTGGACACGAAGACAACTACATTAAGCAACTTGTGGGAAGCTCCAATAAATTCAACACAAAGGTAGTTGCATTAAGAAATGTAGAGTAATCGGTGGGAAACTCTAATAAGTTGGACACGAAGACAACTACATTAAGCAACTTGTGGGAAGCTCCGGAGCTTTCCATCAAGTACTCTATATTTTCTATTGGAACTGTGTAACTAATTAAGTAGAGTTTCTCAACAAAATATATTACTCTGTTCTTAATGAAAATGTCTTTGTGACTAATTTAGTCGAATTTCCTAACAACTACTGCATAATTTTAAATGGAGTTTTCTTCATGTCTGACTCTACAATTCTTAATTAAGTTGTATTTGCGACTAACATACCGCAGCTTTCTACAAATTAGTCTTAATCGTTAATGCAGTTGTCTTTGTAGCTATCTCAGTGAAGATTACTACTAACTGGATGTAGCTTTATGTATGGATATATTAATGAAGTTTCTCAACAATTACTTTATAATTCTGAATGGACTCGTGTTTGTGATTAACTTAATGGATCTGAGAAATAATTCTCACTACTGTATATTACACGTGTATACATATGTCTAAGTACCTAAAGGAATGTTGTTCAATATTCGAAATATTTTTAAACCACAAGTCTTCTGTGAATGGCGAAGTTGCGCTGAAATTCAAAATTCAGTTTTTGAAATATTTAAAAAAGGACTCGTTAATAAATCTTTAAAGTCATTTCCTAAGTGAGATATATGTGTGTGTTTTATAGAAGCCTCTTGACCTAAACATATACGGGCCACAACAATTTAAATGGTCTGCAATGACACATCTTTAATCAATAACCTCTTTTTGAAACTGCAACAGAGAAACGAGTTATTACTTTTGTATACTTAGCTATCCCAAAGTCACCTTCTTTGGTACCACAGTAAATCATTCCACTTACTTAAATTGCCTATATCGTCAATCATATCTTAAAACCTATATTTTGATATTGGATAATAAAACTACGTGAACTTATTGGTGTCATTATCGTAACTAAGTAGGACTATTACCATACTGTATACTACGAAGCTAAACCACACGCTACGTACTTAGTGGAACCCATCAGTCTTAGACAGCATTATCAATATTGCATAATTCTAAAACTCGATGAAGAATTAAATAGATTCAATTCTTGTACATTATATTGTTCCATTAAAGTTGTCTTCTGTATTACTTACTTGTTATGGTTTAAATTGATTTGATATTTTACAAGCTATTGGCTAAGGCTTGCATCTTACCTCTCGCAGATTTGGCTGCTGTTTCCAACATCTCACGAAAAGGGACGTTTTTTTGTAGACTATTAAATTCCTGATGGTGGAGGTAGAAAAAAAACTTCAAATCTCTCCGAAGCGCTCGCTCCAGACTACTAGCAACCAAAGATGAAAAACCCTGAGCTCCGTCATACAGTATTGCCACATGATGCCACCCAAAAAAACGAAGGACTGATAAAACTGTGTTAGCAATGCCTCCCATGGTGTGAGAGAGTCTAGTTAGAGTAGAAAAGTCCTTCTTGTTTCCAAACATGGAATTGCTACCTGCTGCAGTGCATATTGGAATGCTCCACCTGGCTGCCATTCGTGCTACTGGATCTAAAGCTAGACTACACCCAGGTCCTAGAAATCCTGATACATAGTGACGGTAATACTGTTCAGCAGCCATTGCTCCAGCGTAATTTGCTGTACAGTCATTGGTTCCGTTAAGAAACACGACTTGCAAGTCAATGTTTGGATAAAACTTCCTGATCGTCTTCTGAGCGATAGCAACAGCAGGGTGAACAAGCTCTTGGTCAAAAGGGCGTCCTGCTCGAGACAAAAGAATACTGACCATTCGTGCTTGAAATCTTCCACTGATGTTTCCTACTATTTTAGAGGGAAATCCAAGTTCTGAATTAATAACAACATAATACATTAACATCAATAAAACAATCTTCATGTTTTCTTTTCCAAAACAACTAGTAAAAAATGCTAGTTTTTAACAGAATTGTTTCTGGAAATTCAATCTCTGATCTTTTATTCGTAATGTTATATAGTTCTTTCCTTTCTACATCTTCTTACTCATTCGTTTCCTAAACTCACGTGACATGTTTTAAGCCCGGTGATTGATTTTAGTTTATTAGCTGTTACATTTTACTGTAGAATGGTAGTATGTCGAGATTTAAAAAAGGTTGCATGACTGTTACTCATACTTTGTCAGAACTCTAATGACAAGTGTTTCATCATTTTAAAGACATTGCTATTAATGAGAATACATAACCCAAAATAAATATTGGGTATTAACGAAAGGTAAATCACATCTCAGTGTTTGATGAGAAAGTTCAACCGTTCATGACAAAAGCTTCAATCATTATGAAATTGAAAAGTCAGATTAAAATAAAACGGAGATACTTAGAATGACATTCTTTAATCTGAAGATTATATTAATGTCAGTATTCAGCCCGGATTTAAAGTTTAATTAATATCCCATTTTATTGGATTGTAATATTAATATTATTAAAATATAAAATATATAATCAAGGTGCTGTTTCCAGCAAAAATTGTATTTTCTCTAAACATTTTTGAAACATGCCATTGAACTGTTCATACTAAAAGAACTTCTCACTACATTATTGTGGTCTTGTTCAAGACAATACAAAAAAAAATTTATCGATTCTTTTGGAGAGCAACTTTTTTTTAGTTTTTAAAACAATTTTACTTTATTTAAGAAAAATTAAATGCAGATGTTATGAAGCATGTGTTAGTGTTTGTAGTTTGCTAAAAACGAAAAAATGTAGCTTATTTTAGTAAAACGAAATATTTTGAAACAATTTCAAAAACAAAAATAGAAAGTGTTTTTGTGGGTAATAAGTGAAGAGATAAGGTCCTTTCCATTTCCGTTGGGACACGGACAACTTTTTTTATTCATTAACGAAGTAGTAGTACTAGCTTTGGATAATCGTATTTAATCATTCATCTCTAGATCATTGTATGTTGCAAAAACTGTAAAATAAAAAGTATTTCTCCCTAGTTGCAATAAACTAATGGTCTAAACGTGGCTAGGAAAATGGAACACTTTTACATGAAGTATTAAAACACTTAGGACAGATGCATTGATTCACAAACAGTTCTTTAATGTCTTGTTTTGCAGTTGAATATAAAACATAGGACATATGCAGAAGAGAAAGCATCGTTAATATATCGAGTTTAAAATCAAAACACAGATCAAGTTCAGCTTTTCCTTAATTGGTATAAAAAAATAGCCAAGTAAAGCTTAATTTAGACTTTGATTACTATGTGTTTAAGTGCAAAGCTCCTGATTCTAATTTTCGATCTCTTTCTACTTGATCTTTTTTTATCTCTTCTTTCCTGGTCTTATTTTAATTTTTTGTAAATTGTTTTTTATTTTCTTTAAATTGTCTGTCTCATTGCTCTTTATCCTGTTTTAGTAATTTCATCATATAAAGTAATGATTCACTCTCACTCTTTGATCTCGTAATAATCGTCTTCAATAGTTAAATTTTTTTGAATTATATTCAAAGTTCTGTTTTATTTTCACCAAAATAATATCCCCCCTCCCCATCTGACACCAGTGTTGTAGCATTATTCTTTTATCGGCATGTTCTTTTAAACTACCTCTAAAAATAAATCAGATAATAAATTAGTTTATTTTCGCTATAACATTTGTATAAACTTGAGCACTATACACTGCTGTACGTTGTAGTAGGCCTAAGTTACAAATGACGTTAACTAAGGTAGAAAAAATCAACTTGTACAAAGTAACTTGATAAGCGAGATAGCAAACATAGATAGTATGTAGATCAACGCTGATTCTAAAACTACACTAGTTTGACCTGATTTGGTATGGAAGGGTGGGAAGTTGCCTCAGAAATGAAGAAAGAAAATGGAGCGACAAGAACAGCAAGAGAACATAAAGTATCAGCAAGAAGAAATATAGAAGTTATTCTTACTGTAGGAAACTTCTCCACGCCTCATAATGTTTGGGAAATTGACACCGTGAAAGAGTGTATTGTTACGACAGTGGAAGTCACGCGACGCTGGGAGCATGCACGCTGCAGTTTTTAGAAGAATCCTGACTTAGCAGGCAACCTCACGAATGTCCCAGCGTTTGCTAGACGCCCTCTTTTTTAGTATATAAGTCGGAGATAGATTGAAGAGATAATTGAGTCAAGCGAACAGTAGGTACCGTAAGTAAAGTGTGTGAATTGCTGTGAATTATAGTGTGTGTTTATAAAGTAGTCAAGTTAAAGTGACAGTGGAAATTCTGTGTGTTGCAAAGTTGTATCAAGAAAGAATAAACTAGTTTAAATTAAAAAAGGACTTGTATCGCTGAAGTTTCTCGGAAAGAATTTCTACGGGAAATTAACAAACAAGCAGATACGTAACAGTATATTAGAACTGACATCTTGTGAAGATCTGCGAGTTTAGGCTAACTTCAAATAACTTTACAGAGTATGGCCAGAAAATCCGTACACCAGACTTTGAACTTCCCCTAACAACAAGGTGAGCAGTCATTGTACCATTAGGTAGTGAAATACTAATACAAAAACTTATTAAAAATAAATTTACATCTGGTGACTGGGACATAATAGAACCAAACACCTAAGTATGTGATGGTGGAACTTTCGTGGATCTGATGAATAAAGACGACATATTATAAGAGCAATGAACACAACAAACCATAAAATTCGAGTCAATTTCACATCAAAGAACATTAGACTTATTCACTTTTGAGGCAATATATATAGAGAGTTCAATGTCAGGTCCTTACCACCTCACTCATTGAAGCTGTATGACAAGAGCTATGGAAGTCTTATATGTGATCAATGTTGGGGATTACATAACGTTCTCAAGAATTTCAAGACACCTTCCCCAATGGATCTTATGATTCAAACTGAACAAATATCTTACAAGATTTATACTGGAGGTGCAGCATCAATATATCTGTTAGCCACCAGATGACTCTCACTTGCAAAACAGACTGAGGTTTTTAAAGAGATAGAAACTGTGAAGGAGCAAGGAGTGACAGAATAGAGTACTAGTCCTTGGGCATCATCTATTGTATTTGGAAGAAATATGATTCATCCACAAGATTATACATTGACTAATGGAAGTTGAATGAAGTGACAAAGAAGGATGTCTACCAGCAATGAAGGATTGACTCTACTTTTGGTGCTATATATGGATCAAAATGGTTTTCAACATTGGATCTTAAGAGTGGATATTGGCAAGTGAGTAGAAAGATGACAGCCTTTACTTCAGGAGATGGATTGTAGCAATTTGTAGTGTTACCATTTCAATTATGTTATACTTCTGTTACATTTTAACGATTAATGGACCTACTTTGAAACAGCATACACGACTTCTTGGATTATGTAATCACACATGAGAAACCTTTGGTAATACTTACGAAGGGCTTGAGAGATTTAGATAAGTTGAAGAAAGAGAACCTTAGGCTGAATTGCAAGAAGTGTGAATTATTCTGTCAACAGGTGAGCTTCCTGGGGCACAAAGTCAATGAAAAGGAAATGTCTACAGTTCCATCAGAGGTTGACTCTGGTCAGAATGGCCAACACAAAAGAACCTATGTGAGTCTTCAGGATAATGCATTAAAATTTCCACGGTTCTTGCCAGAGTGATATACAGTGTTAAAGTTGTACTACTGGAATTTGTGGAGGCATTTGGCTATCTGGCCACTTCAATGTTATATGACTGATCCAAAATGTAAAATCCTGTTCATATAGATAATAGTGGAAATGGTTTATGACTCCAACAACACTTAGTAGTTCTTTTCAAGCTGTACAATGTTTTCTTTCTGTACCATTAATTGCCTATTTATAGTAGGAAGTAACATGTTCTATTCCACTTTGTACTTGTGCCAACACAGCACCCACTGCGAAATCACTGGTATCTGTATCTAAAATGAGTGAATCTTCAAGAGTTGTCTATACTAAAGCATGAGTACTGGTAAATTCTTTGGTTTGCTGAATGTTTTTCACAATCTGTTGTCTAAGAATATTTATTTGGCTTTTCAACTAATTTGTATAGAGGATGAGCTATGTCAAAGAATGATTTTACAAAGCAACAGTAGTAAGAATACAGTCTAAGAAATCCTCTCAACTATGCGTTAATGAAGAATGTAAAGACTCTGATAAGAGAGAAGCACAAGATAGAGACAACTAACTTAAATTGCAACAAAGTATAATTCAAGATGTGACATCCACAAGTGATGCTTAAAAACTAATGTGGTCCAAAATGCAACTGAAAGCTGCTCAGGCAAAATACACGAGTTTTAAACCAATTATTCAGTGGATAAAAAGAATGCAGAAAAACCTTCATGCCAAACAGCCACTCCATACAACCCAACGACAAAAATGTACTGATTACAGTGGATTCGTCATGCTTATAAGGTGTCTTATTATGTCAGAAATGAGGAAATATCAGAGGACAGAAACAATTACTACACTTGATACTTCTACAGTCTAGAGGTTCTGAAGCACTATGTTATCTCTACAACCTTCCAATATTTGAACACTTAGTATTAAGAAGACACTGGAACGAGTAAGAGAACACTTCTATTGAATTGGGTGCCAGAGATGTGAAGAAAATTGGTATAAGACATATGAACTTTGCTGTGAGCAAAAGGATCCAAGTAAGAAACAAATGGACAGCTACAGTATTGTGTTAGAATACCATTTGAGAGAGATGCTGCTGATGTGCTTAGTTTTTGCCACAGAGTAACTGTGGGAATAAATACATCATGGTTGTGATGGACTATTTCACAAAATGGCCAGAAGCTCATGTTATTCCTAACCAGGAAGCAGAAACTCTAGCAAGGAAACTCATCAATGAATGTATTTCAAGAATTGGTATGCCTATGAATCTTCATTGAGATCAAGGATGGAATTTTGAATTAATGTTGTTTATAGAAATGTTTCA